AGCTACCCACTACTTACGGAGGAAATCCGAACAGCTCTAAATAAATGCCTCTGGTAGACTGAAAGGGAAAGAACATTTCCCAACTCATTTTTGAGACCCGCATTAAGTTACAATGATCCCAAGCCCATAAAAAGTCAGGGCAAGGAAAAAAAAACTAGAATTTTAAAGCCAAAACAATAAAGACGATCAAATCAATTTTTAAAATCTGCTGTAGGGGCTGGAGCGATAGCACAGCGGGGAGGGCGTTTTCCTTGCATGCGGCCGACCCAGGTCTGATTCCCAGCATCCCATAGGGTCCCCTGAGCACCGCCAGGAGTAATCCCTGAGTGCAGAGTCAGAAGTAACCCCTGTGCATCTCCGGGTGTGACCTCAAAAGAAAAAAAATAATAAAAATCTGTATTTCAATATGGAAGCAATAAAATAAAGGGAGAGAAGGGGCTGGGGAGAGAGTACAGCGGGGAGGGCGCTTGCTTTGCCTGAAACCAAGCTGAGTTTGATCCCCGGGATCCCGTGTGATCCCCTGAGTGCACCAGCAGAGATCTCTGAGTGCAGAGCCAGGAGTAAGCCCTGAGCATCGCCAGGTATGGTCCCCAAACAAACAAAAGTGGAAGGGAAATTTTAAAAGAACCCTATTTATTAGGGATGGAGAGATAGCACAGTGGGTGGAGGAGGGGAGGGTTCAGCCCAACATGCTCATCATCAATACACGTGCAACACTCCTACCAAATTTTGAGCAAATCAACCCCAACAACATACAAAAAAAGGGAATTCTAAATCATGAGCCATTAGGATGCACCATAGGAATGCAAGGCTGGTTTAACATCCAAAAGTGACTTTTCTCCATGGCAACAGACTGAAAAGAAAAAGGAAAAACTCATCTCAATAGACACAGACGGAGCATTTCACAACAACCACAGTCATTCCAGACAAACACCCTCATCAAATTCGGGCTGGAATCTTCAACCCGACTATAGAGAGCCAACAGCTCAGGGAGAACATCGTTCTCTACCACGAAAGCTAACTTTCCTACTACGACTGGAAGCAAGCTAAGGGTGTCGGCTCTGGAACGTCTCTCAACAACACACTAGAAGTCTAGCCAGCGAGTGACAAGAGAAAGAAACAAGGGCATCATACTGAAAGGAGAGTAAGAGTAAGAGTAAGGTCCTCCTGTTGTTCGTCGATTTGCTCGAGCGGGCCCAGTAACGTCTCCATTGGAGACTTGTTGTTACTGTGTCTGGCATATCAAATACGTCACGGGTAGCTTGCCAGGCTCTGCCGTGCGGGCGAGATACTCTCAGTAGCTTGCCGGGCTCTCCGAGAGGGGCGGAGGAATCGAACTCGGGTCGGCTATGCTGGCTGCGTGCAAGGCAAACGCCCTACCCGCTGTGCTATGTCTCCAGCCCACTGAAAGGAGATGACTTGCAATTCATATTTTGGGGTTTGGGGCCCCACCGGGTGATGCTCAGAGGTTACTCCTAGCTCTGCACTCAGGGATCACTCTGGCAGTGCTCAGAGGACCATATGGGATGCTGGGGATCAAACACGAGTTCAAGTGGCCGATCTGCTATACCATTGCTCCGGCTCCAAAACAACTTTCAATTTACAGAGACACCATCACCTGTGCAGAAAACTCTGTGGAACACACACACACACACACACACACACACACACACACACACTTGTATAAGCAACTTTAGCAAAGTTGCAGGATACAAGGTCAAGTAACAAAAATCAGTCTTATGCCTATAAACTACAAATGAGCAACAGCTATCTCATTGAAATTTAATTTACAACAACATAACAGCAAAAATATGAGGAATGTACCTGCCCAAATATATGTACAATGCAAGCACTGGATGGCATGACTTGACCTGCAGGCACAGTTGGGGGCCAGGTGGCTCCACCGCACGAAGGAGCTGTCTCCCAGGACCGGAGTGACAGTACAGCAGGGAGAGTGCTTGCCTTGCATTGAGCAGACCCGGGTTCAATCCCCGGCATCCCATAGGGTCCCCTGAGCACCACCAGGCCGTGGGTCATGCGGAGGGTCCTGAGCCCTTCCCCTCCCGCTGAGGGCAGAAGACACCATGAGGCCTGGACAGTCACTGACCATGCCCAGATGTCTTTTGTCTCTGTACCCAGCAGGTGATGAGTGAGCGGAGGGATTCTGAGCCCTGGACCACCGGCGTGGCCAAAGCCCAGCCCCCAGGGTCCCTCCCCGCATACACAGTCCGATGCAGAGCTGGCCTCCGAGACCCAGAGGTGAGGGGCACCTGCGCGTGACCACTCTGGCCCCTCCGACCCAGGCAGTCTCTGCTTTCCTCACGCTCAGCCTGGCTTCCTGGAAGGCCGGGGATAATGCTCTTGTGGACCCCTTTACAGAAAGAAGCAAAATGCGACAAGCCACAGTGCTACACCCCCCTCCTCCCACAGCCTTTACCACCAGTTTTCAGGAACCTGAAACCTCTGAGGGCTGAGCCTACCAGGCCAAACCCTGGGACAGACGCCTCCAGGAAGTGTCACCCTCCGTTTCTGCCCCATTTGGGGCTTCCCTCTCCTCCTCCAGGGAAGGTGCGCGGCCGGGAGCACAGCCCCAGACATGGCACTGGGTGGGGGGGTGTCCATTTCCCCTGCACCCCCGTTCTGTGCCCTGACCCCAATCCTGATGTCTGTCTCCCTCCCGGCTGCCCGGGCAGGAGTCTCACTCCCGAGGGCCTCCCCCTTTTTGAAGGAACCCCCCTCCCAAACCTCGTGAGGAAGAGGAGCAGAAGCCCGACTCCCAAGAAGGCCAGCACTGACCCTCCAATGGTACGGGGCCAAAGGTCTGTGGGGCGGGGGGGGAGTGGCCAGAGAGCTCCAGGGGTTCAAGGGCTGTGGGAGGATGCCCAACAGAACTAGGGGCGGCCGGGTGCAGGGCCCACGTCGCACACGTCCCAGGCACACAGCCCCATGGCCCACAGGACGGGTATTCTCACCAGGGGACAGCTGGGGGCCGCCTCAGTAACTGAAGAGGGACAAAACAGAGAAGCCAGGGCCAGAGCGATAGCACAGAGGGGAGGGCGTTTGCCTTGCTTGCGACCGACCCGGGTTCGATCCCTGGCATCCCATAGGGTCCCCCAAGCACTCCCAGGAGTCATTCCTGAGTACAGAGCGAGGAGTCACCCCTGAGCACTGCTGGGTGTGACCCAAAAAGCAATAAATAAATAAATAAAAAACAGAGAAGCCCAAGCAGGACTGTGCGCGCACACACACACACACACACACACACACACACACATACACACACACACACACAAATACCATGGGCTGTGCCCAGCTCTCAGCACCGACTTCCTGTCAGGAGCTCAGGGCCCGGCTCTCAGGCCTGCTGCTGTTCTCCGGGTCCTGCTCAGGGTACTGGGGGGGGGGCGGGGGGGGGGGCACCAGGGTACATGAGCTCTGGAGTCCCATGCCGCCTCTGAAGGGTGGAGTCCCCACAGCTGTGCGAGCTCCTCCTGGCCCTGAATGGGCCCGGGGCCTGCAGGCTCCCGAGAGCAGGGCCATGGGGTATGGCCCCAGGCAGGAAGGCAGGAGGCAGGAGGGAGAGAGGAGCAGGCTGCCCGTACCCCAGTCCCGAGCCTGGACGCGTCCTCTCCCCTCGCGGTGCCCCCCTCCATATCTGGACAGTCCTGAAATGGACAGCTGCTCACCAACCAAGACGCCCGACTAGCTGGAAGGCCTCACCCCCAGCTGCTAAACGTTTCCAGAACCTTCCTAAGGAGGCTGCCATCGACTTTCTGTCCCTTTATTCCTGAACACGCAGATACACATGTTTCCCTTCTAATTCATGTTTGCTCTTTTATTATGACGGAGGGAACTCGGCGACGACACTGGTCGTCGTGTTTCTGCTTTGGGTAGACAAAGCTGCCTCATCTCCTCCCAGGAGCCAAAGCCCCTTCCCCGCTTTCCACAGTCGCTTCTAGCCTGTCCCCCACCACCACCATCGGCCCCAGCCCTGCCACCCCCTGGTGACCTCAGTTCTGCCACCAACATACATAGGCTCCTTTTCACTCTCCTTCCATCTCTTTGTCTTTGTACAGAGAACACACGCGTGAGATCATCTGTATTCATCCTCTTCCCTCTGACGTATTTCACTGAACACAACTCCTACAAGCTCTATCCACATGGAAACAACAGAATTTCAATGTTGTTGGTTTTTTTTTTTAAATTTTGGGCCACACCCAGCAATGCTCGGAGCTTACTCCTGACTGTGCTCCTGGCGGGGCTGGGTGTGTGTGTGTGGGGGGGGGGGGGGTAGGCTGATGGAGTGCCAGGATCAAACGGAGGTCGGCCACGTGCAAGGCAAGCGCCCTCCCTGCCTAGAGCACCAGCACCAAGAGCTTATCTCTCCTTACAGCTGCATAGTATTCCCTTGTTTATTCACCACTGCCTATTTCTACACGGCGGCTGTGGAACATCTGGGCTGTTCCCAGATATTGGCTATCGTAAATAGCGCTGTCGTGAACAGAAGTGCGCCTGGAGCATTTCAAGTTCATATTTCTGTGTTCCTGGGAGAGATGCCCGGAGCAGAACCACTGGGTGAGCCGGTAGTTCTGTTTTCTATCTGTGCACTTTTAAGTATCTTTTTTTCTACATACGTATGTTCTCCGCGAACATATGAATGTGTTCTGCGCTGGCTACTGGGGGCACAGCCATCGCCGCTGGGGGTCGGCACATGGGACGGTGTCTGGGGCAACAGCCCCTCAAGCTCCCTCCTTGACAGCAATCTAGGAGCTAGGCCAAGGTCTGACTCAGCCGTGGCGGCTGCAGGCACCCCCTGCCCCAGCCCTGCCCACCGGGGCCAGACCTGGCGAGGTTCTCAGGAGAACTCAAACCTAACAGGAGTTGGAGCAGGTGAGTTGGAGCACTACCGGGCGTTACAGACTTGGGAGGAAGCGCGTGCCCACCCGGCGGCCCCCGGACCCTCTCTCCCCACCGAGGCATCGAGGAGACAAAGTACAGACCTCCGGCTGGATGGCTTTGAACACGGGGATGTCCATGAGCGTGATCTGGCTCTGCAAGGAAAGTCAGAAAGGCCAGTTAGTGTCAGCGGAGTGACAGAGGACCCGCCGGTCGCCCTGGGGCCCAGCAAGAACAGGGGTGCCGTCTCACAAGCGACAGGACGTGCCCTGACCCCCTTGGAGGGAAAGCCATGAGGACAAGGGGTGAGCTTCCAAAGTCCCTATCAGCCCCCGACCCTGCAACCCACCATGAGCCGCCCGCAAACCTCTCTCGCGAGAAGGAGACGGGCCTCCGACTCAGGGAGCGGCGAGAGTGAGTTTGGAGGGTGAGAAGGAGAACAGGGGCAGCACTTTTCGTCTGGATATTTTTTGTTTTGGGGTCACACCCGGCGATGCCCAGGGGTTTCTCCTGGCTCATGCACTCAGGAATCACTCCTGGCGGTGCTCGGGGGACCATATGGGGTGGTGGGAATCGAACCCGGGTCGGCCGCGTGCAAGGCAAACGCCCTACCCACTGTGCTATCACTCTAGCCCCTTCATCTGAATATTTTTTTGCACTGAGTTTTTATTACAAGCAAATTTTATTTCAAATTTTTTTCATTTTACAGCAGAGCTTTGAACAGAATATTAGAAATCTGAATACGAGGGCGGGCGAGAGCTCCAAGAGCTGGAATCCAGATGAGTCCCAGGCACCACATGGGCCTCCAAATGCTGCTGGGTGGATGACCCCTTGAGCACTGAGCCGGAGCAGCCCTGAGCACTGCTGGGGGTGGGGGGAGGGAGAAGCCCACAAACAAACAAGCACACAAAAATTAGAGGGGCTGGAGAGACAGCACAGTGGATAGGGCGTTTGCCTTGCGCGCGGCCAACCCGGGTTCTATTCCCAGCATCCCATATGGTCCCCTGAGCACCGCCAGGAGTAACTCCTGAGTGCAGAGCCAGGAGGAACCCCTGTGCATCGCTGGTTGTGACCCAAAAAAGCAAAAAGCAAAAAAAAAAAATTAGAATTCTACAGACCAGAAAATAGCTCCCAGGGCTTTGCCTGCCCGAGCCCTTACACGGTCCCCAACACCATGGCCAGCAGTGACCCGAGCCCCTGAGCACTGCCAAACCTGTTCCCCCCACCCCACCCCCCCCACCCCCGCGCAGAACCACAAAGCTACGCAGAGAAACTACGTTATACTTGAGATACTCTAATCATGGCTTATAGAAGTTCATGTTGCCACTGAATCAGGAAGAAGGAAGGAAGGAAGGAAGGAAGGAAGGAAGGAAGGAAGGAAGGAAGGAAGGAAGGAAGGAAGGAAGGAAGGAAGGGCAAGCAAGCAAGCGACTGTTTGAGTCAGCTTTCAAATATCATCATTCAAAAAGCCTCACACCTGAAATACACTGGGGGAAAAGAAAAATATATACTGGATAAAAACAGACTCACAAAAGGTGCAGTGTGATCACATGCAAGGCTGTAGGTAGGCAGAGCGTGCAGCGAAAGCACACCATCCTTGGGGTCAGGGGGCAAGGATGTGGGGGGACAGGACACGGGGCTCAGGGCGCGGGGCAGAGGGCATGCACAGGGGGCCTCCGGGAGCGCCTCTCGCCCCCTCCCCAAGTGCAGGCTGCTCCGGGCAAAACGGTGGGCGCTGGGAGGAGAGAGGCCCAGGGCGAGTGGGTTCCTGCACTTCTGGGTCACTGCCCCACTCGCCATCCGGGGCAGGGGCACTGCACACCGGTACCCCGTGCCCAGGCTCGGACAGACAGACCTCTCTCCTGCAGCCTGGGGAGACGGGCCCAGTGCACCCCAAATGACGCACAGAGGCACCCTGCAGAAACTGACAGTCTGAGCTGCAGACTTGGGGGGGGCACAGCTGCAGGCTTAGGGGGCCTGTTCGACGTCAGGGAGCAGGCAGGGTGCTCGCCGTGCTCTGAGCAAAGAGGTGTGGCTCCCTGGTCCTGGCTTTCCTACCAGGCCACAGCCGTAGTGACTGCATGGCTTGTAGTCTCAGATGTCCCAACTTTGAGCTACTCAGTTGCCTGCTCAGATCCCCAAGCCAGGAAATGCGTTTGTTCCTTCTTTAAGACACGTGGCAACCGAGGTCACTGGGCTTCAAGCGGCTGGTCCTGAACACACAGTCCCGGGGTCTTCGGGGCTGGAGCGATAGCACAGCGGGTAGGGGCATTTGCCTTGTACACAGCTGACCCGGGTTCGATTCCCAGCATCCCATAGGGTCCCCTGAGCACCGCCAGGGGTAATTCCTGAGTGCAGAGCCAGGAGGAACCCCTGTTCATTGCCAGGTGTGACCCAAAAAGCAAAAAAACAAAAAAGAAAGAAAGAAAAATAAAGAACCTCTTCCTCAAAGAACATCGAGACAACTGGGCACTGTACCTCCCAACGGCCCCAGGCAGCAGCGCGGGGTGGGAGGCCTGGGCAGGTGGGGACACTCTCAGGCCAGTCTCCTCATGACCTCTCCGGCCTCCCTACAGGAGTAAAGGATGTCCAGTTTAACCAATAACCTTGCGGGGGCCCCCCTCCTCGTCTGGAGTCCCCTAAATAGGCTTTTAAGAAAAATGCCCTGTCCGTCCCCTCTTAATGACAAAACCTTTCCGCAGAGACAAACCCTTTAGATTGTGGAGACTTAGGGGCTGGCGCGATGGCACAGCGGGGAGGGCGTTTGCCTTGCACGCGGCCAACCCGGGTTCAATTCCCACCATCCCATATGGTCTCTTGAGCACTGCCAGGAGTAATTCCCGAGTGCAGAGTCAGGAGGGACCCCTGAGCATTGCCAGTGGTGATACAAAAAGAAAAAAAAATAGATTGTGGAGACTCGCAGACTCGTCCCAGAGTGGCCTGCAGGAACAGACCACGTGGACGAATGAAATCACTTCACCACACAGCTGGGCGTCGTCCACGCATGCTGCCAAGTACAGTGTCCTGGCCACCCCACTGCCCCGCCCCTGCACAATAGTGACCAAACCTGCCCTCCCCATTCACAACCTTTTTTACACAGCTCTCCCCAACAAACAAAAACAACTCGTTGGCAAGTCCCTGGAACATTGGATAATAGAATAAATGTGCTCTGATGACTCCCCCGAGGACATGACAGCGCTGGCCAGAATATCCATCCCGGCTTCTGCTCCCAGCGCCCCAGGAAGCACATGTCTGGCAGCTTCAGAAATGACACATCTTGGTCGTCAGGGAAATGCAAATCAAACAGGAAGACGCCATGGCGGCTCCCTGCCATCCGAGAGATGGGCTCCAACTGCCCTGGAGGCCAGCTGGCAGCAACCCAGACTCTCCTTAACTCCTTATTTGAAACAGATGTCAGATTTACCCCCAAAGTTACAAGAATAATATGATGGCACGCTGCAATAGTTCACCCACCTTCACTCCTTACTGTTTTCTGTTTTGTTAGCTTTATCTCTAGACATATAATTACACGGGGAAAGATTTCTTTTTCCCGAGCCGCCTGAGAGTCAAAGGCAGCTACTATGACTCGGGCCCCCGAAAGACTTCAGCATGTTTCTTCCTGAGCACGAGCTCATCCTCCGAATGGAATGGTCAAATGATGGCTAAGACGTTACATTCAGGAAATGGACGCTGGCACGGAAGTATTATCGAATGTAGAGTCCCGGCGATGCAATTCAGCAGGAGGGCATTCACCGTGCACAAGAGAGGCCCTGGGTTGGATCCCCAGCGAGGTGTGTGCGCGCACACACACACACACACATGCACGCATGCACGCACGCACAAATTGCTAGTTAGGATCCCAGGATTGTTTTCACAGCAATGGCTTTACTCTGGATTCAATCATGGAGTCGGATCCCCAGTGAGGTGCGCGCGCACGCACACACACACACACACACGCACACACATGCACGCACGCACAAATTACTAGTTAGGATCCCAGGATTGTTTTCACAGCAATGGCTTTACTCTGGATTCAATCATGGAGTTGGATCCCCAGTGAGGTGCGCGCACGTGCGCGCGCACACACACACACACGCACGCACACGCATGCACAAATTGCTAGTTAGGATCCCAGGATTGTTTTCACAGCAATGGCTTTACTCTGGATTCAATCATGGACTGTATTTAGATAATATCTCCTTTTAAAAAAAACTAAAAGGTCCCGAGCCTATTATTGGCAAAACAATCCCTGTAACTCCAGAAAGCAAAGAACTGCAGGGCGCCCTGTAGCACTGATACCTTCCTGGCCTTCGTCATGGGCAGCAGGGTGGGGTACACACAGCCAGGCCGTCTGGGCTACCGGGCACTGGGGCCTGGACAAGGGTTTGAACTCAGCCCCGAGCTCCTCCAGGCGCGTGCCTGAAACCGCTCCCACGCCCTCCTCTTCCATTTTTAAGATGATAAACTGGTCCCCTGTCATCGTCCTGTGACAAACGGCAGCTGGATGGGTTTCAATCCATCACAGTTATTCTCCTTTTCTAGCTCAAATCCTCCCGGCGCTGGGCAGTAGCTGCTTCTAGTGGGTCCCCGAGTCCTTCCAACGTGACCCATGTGCTTGGCCGCCTTCTCCGCGGCAGCTGGGAACCCGTCTTGAGCGCTTTCTGGCCCCTGGAATCAACCCCGGCTTCCTTCAGTGATGAGTACTCCAAGACGGCAGTCTGGTACCCAGCTGCTCCTTCCCGTTCGAGCTCGGAACACGCTTCTCTTGCAGTGACCTCACTCCCAGCGCCGCGGACACAGCTGCCCGCTTCCTCTCGCCTGAAAATCCTCATCCCTGGGACACCGACTAGGTTGGAACCCCGGCGTCCCGTCCCATCTCGTGCTACCTCCGGGCGTGACCATCCCCAAATGTCAGCGCTAAGGCTCAGGGCACAGGAAGCGTCACTGAGGACAGTCAGGAAAAGTGTCGCGTGTCCGCTGCATTTTCCCTCTGATTTCAAACGCTCTGCCCTGTGGTTTTCAACTGCCACTCCTCGACCCAACGCAGGCCCACATGTGCAGTCAGGCTGAAAACCAACCGGTCGGTGCTCCCGGCAACCTGGCTCCACTGCACGGCCCAACAGCCCAGGCGGGCCACGTTCCCTCCTTCTGGCTCCCCGGTAACCACATGCCAGCTGCCCCCACGGGTCCTGAGGCCGCTGGCTCGCAGATCATTTTCCAGTGTCTGCGTCTGAGCTCGCAGATTCCGGGGACCCGGCTCAAGGGACTAAACACTGAGGCCTGGCCTGCTCGGTGGAGTTTGGGTCTTGTCCTGGGGAGTGAGTTTTGCTGGATATGAAGACTGGGGTTCACTTGTGCTGAATTCGTTTAACTCACATTTTCACTTGATTATGCCGCTCTCTACTTTTATTTATTTTTTTTTTTAATTTTCTTTTGGCTACGTGCATCTCTGTGGCGAAGACGCCAGCTGGGCTGAGAGTATGGCTCAAGAGGAAGAGCACCGGGACCGGAGTGATGGCACGGCAAGGAGGAACACTTCTTGGATGTGGGCAAGCCAGGTCCGATCTCCGGCATCCTGTATGGTCTCCCCACGACCACCGGAGTGATCCCCGAGTGAATGCCGAGCTAGGAGTAACCCTGAGCAGAGCCAGGTGTTACTCCCCTTCACCCGGGAAAATGGGGGGGAGGGGGAGGAGCACAAGCCTGCATCTCTGAGTCCTTGGGTGCAATCCCCAGCCCCAGGATGATGATAACTATTGTCACAGTCGGTCACTGTCCTCCCGTTGTTCATCGATTTGCTCGAGCGGGCCCAGTAACATCTCCATTGGAGACTTTGTTGTTACTGTGTCTGGCATATCGAATACGTCACAGGGAGCTTGCCAGGCTCTGCCGTGCGGGCGAGATTCTCTCGGTAGCTTGCCGGGCTCCCCAAGAGGGGTGGAGCAATCGAACTCGATGAAAACTATTTAAAAAATTGACATCGGTTCGATTCCATTAAGAGGTGGGGCTAAAACGTGATTTCTCTGAAAAGTCATTGGCTGCTCTGGCTTGAGGTGCCAGAGAATTTTCTCTTTACCTTTAATATCCAAAAGTCCTCACCATTTGGGGTGTAATGCTGTCGGCCTCCCAACATGCCCTTTCAATGTGTCGTTCTGGACTTTTGTGTAGGTTGCATGAAAATGTTCTTCATGTTTCCTTCATAAAGTATAATGTTTATCCGTCTGTTCCATTTCCTTGACTTCAATTCATCCCTTTCAGGAACGTCGGGGTCTCATCCTGGATATCCTTGGCCTGTCACCAGTTCCGTCACTTTCCGTTGTCTGAATATCCTCATTGAGTCGGCTCTCACCATCGTGAGGTGTCTTCCCTTCGGCTTTTCTGCTCCTGTATTCCTTTCTAGTTCGACCTTCATTGCCAAAACAATTTTTTCCCTCCTTTTCAATTCTTCCCTGAGCTCTGTCGCCAAGTGGGGAGACGGAGAAATGACAGAGGTCTTTCTATTTGATAGTTATGCTGTTCCTCTCTTACAGCATGCGTATGTTTTTGAGTCTCTTAGCATTTCTTGAAATAGAAAGTGACAGTTTTTATCCACTTTGTGGCTAGACTCGCTGGCTGGCACGCTTTCACTTTCCCTCACGTTTTAGCAGAGTTCCTCCACCAAAGGCCCTCAGCCTGGCTCCTTCCTGTGCGCCTCCCCAGCCCATCCTGCTAGCTGGTCCCCTAGTCTCATGCCGTGCCCCCCATTTCTGCTATTTTAACCTCTGGCCCCACTACAATATCCTGGGAGCCCACAAGCGCCCCCCCCCACCTCCCGAGAAACTCTCCCTGATTCTTTTTTTTTTAATTTTATTTTTATAAAGTAGTTCATAATATTTGATTTTTACGTTTAATATTCTAACACAAATCCTACCGCCATGACACCTTCCCACCACCAATATTTAGAGAGTTTCTATCCCGAACCCCAACCCCTGGCCCAAAGCAGAAATGAAATAATTTATTTTGTATTGTTTGTTATAAAAACCCCCTGAAAATGCTCCAAAAAAGTTTCCTTAGAGGAAAGTGCGTGAAGACTGCTGTATTTCACTCAGGGTCCATTAAGCCATTCTATAAGAGATTACTAAGAGATTTTATTAAAGTTTGCAACTTATATGCATATATATGTATATATTTCCCTCCGGGCTGGAGCGATAGCACAGCGGTAGGGCGTTTGCCTTGCACGCAGCCAGCATGGCTGACCCGAGTTTGATTCCTCCGCCCCTCTCGGAGAGCCCAGCAAGCTACCGAGAGTATCCCGCCCGCACGGCAAGCTATCCGTGGCGCATTCTATATGCCAAACACAGTAACAACCAAGTCTCACAATTGAGACGTTACTGGACCCACTCGAGAAAATCAATGAACAACGGGAGGACTGTGACCAACCGTGATATTTCCCTCTAAGATTAGTTGCCTTTTACTTTATTTTATTTATTTATTTATATATTTTTTGCTTTTTGGATCACACTCAGCAATACACAGTGGTTACTCCTGGCTCTGCACACAGTGGTTACTCCTAGCAGTGCTCAGAGGACGATATGGGTTGCTGGGAATTGAACCCAGGTCGGCCGCGTGCAAGGCAAATGCCCTACCCGCTGTGCTATCTCCAGCCCCAGTTGCCTTTTACTTTAAATCCCATCAAATGTGGTGTGCTACTCTTGGAATATGAGTGGCGTGAGGTATGAGAAGTCGCGAGGCTGCCGGCTCCCAGGGCTGGGTCCCTTGGGGCAGGGAGAGGAATGCATCGGCCCCCACTCCAGGTTGCCCCAAATGAAACAGCCTGGCACGGGGTCTAGCAGCATGGCTATGGCGAGTTGTTTTACGCTCTCCTCCGAGAGATTCATATAATGAGTCTCTGGATCGTGGCCGTTGATGAGATTATCTGAAGCCAGCCAGAGGTGGCTTGTGGGTGTGACTGCCAAGTTGCCGGAAACAGAGGGAGATGGTGGGAGGTCACCCATTCCCAGTTCCACTGAACCTGGAGTTTTCAGTCACAAGTCCTGCATACCTGGGTGTTCTAAAGATTCCCTCTGGGTGAGGCTGAGCCTGAGTGTGGAGAGCAGTTCTGAGCCTGGCAGTGTTGAGTTCTGGAGGCTTCTGGCTGTCAGGTCTGGGTCCTTGGGGCGGGGAGGGAACTCACCTACCCCCCTCCGGGATGCCCCAAAGCAGATTTTTTTTTTTCTAATAACATTGAAAGGTCTGCCGTCACCAATCTCCAGCTGCTAATTTTCATGGAAACTGTTTCCCTCAAAGTGGGAAAGGGAAAACCCAGTCCCGGCAACACCTGGGGCTGGTCCCACTCTCCCATGAGGAAGCACCCTTTGGCCCCCAGCAGCGGCCCCATGGGGGTGGAGAAGGAACAATCTGTCCACACCCCTGTCATCTGCTAAGCGCATCGGCCCGAAGTAAAGCACCACTACAGCTCCGCCGCACAGTGCAATACACAGGAGCAAGAAAACTCCGGCAGCCCAGCAAGCTGCAACACAAACAACAGCAAATAAGATGGGAACCAACAGTAAAAAACTGTCTCCTCTCCAGACATCTGGATGGTCCCGGGCACATGGGGGCTCAATCGTGACCTTTCTGAATGCGAATATAAACTCCCAAGTTGGTGCTTCTGAGCTGGGGAGTGCTCGACTCCCCACCCCGCAGTCCCCAGGCCCCCATACCTGCTCACCAATCCTTGGTGCTGGCCTCCTCACCTTCCAGGAGGGAGACTGGGAGTTCTAGGGGGTTTCTGGGTTGCTCAGGGGTGTCTCTTGGCTCAGTTGCTCACAGACTCTTCCCAGCAGTGCTGGGCTCCAAGCCTGCCCGCGTCACGGCCCTGAGGGTCGTCCCCAGCCCCGGCCTGAGATTCAGTCCCGCTACTTACAGCAAACTCCTCGGGCGTCACCTTCAGGACATCGAAGACCACGGCGTCGTAGCTCTTGCTGGCATAGTCGCAGCTCTGGCCCTCCAGAGAGTCGGAGCTGCTGCTGCCCTGGGAGCGGGGAGAGACAGGGTCACCTCAGGCATCCGGCAGAGTGAGACACACAAGTGACGGCAGCGCATGGGGACACACGCGCCCGTCCCCCGGTGCGTTCCTCTGTCCCAGCTCCCCGTGGGGTCACCCCAGCTGGCCCGACCCGGGACGGTTTTGGGAGCATATGTGCGCTGGATCCCCATTCCACAGATGGGGGAGGAGAGGGGATGCCCCCCCCCCCCCCGCCCCGAGCACCTTGGCTGGGATACGGAAGAACCAGGACAAGGAGGTAAACACAGGTCTGCCTCTTCTGATGCCAGATCGGGACCCCTGAGTGCCCCCCTCCGGCTCCCTGCTTTCTGTGGGTCAGCCAGTGGGACGCGGAGACCAGAGACCATCTGCACTGCCACCGCCTGCAAATGTCCCCTGGTCTCACCCTCACCACTGGCAGCCACGGCAGGGAACTCTCACACACGAGGCTCACACAGGCTCTTTCACGTACAGGCCAGTTCGACCCAGAGCCAGCTGCTGTGGTGAGAGGGGCCGTCGGGAAGGCTGTGTTCGGGGGTTCCCGCGTGGGGAGAACACTGTACACTCTGCTGCAGAGAAAGGGGCTCCGATACCACTGGTGTTGTGAAACCCACATGTGGTGTGTTTTTTGGGGGGGGAGGGGTGGTGGGTAGGTAGTGGGGGAGGGGGGCAGAACGCTGAACACACCTTCTCTTCAGCTTTTACTTAATTCCACCAAATTCTGCTTGGGGGAAACCAACCCAGCCCGCCGTCCCCACAAGCCATGCCCCATCCATAAATGTCTTTCATTCGTCTCAAGCCCTGAAGTGGGATTGTGTGGTTTCCATGAACCACATCTTGGCCCAGGATCCAGAGAATATGTTTTTATTAATTCCTCTTTCTTTCACTTTCCAAAAGGGCTATATCTGGAAAAATAAATGGTGCAATCTTACTGGAAATGGGAGTGTCCAGTGACGAAGACCCAGAATCAACAACGGAACACGTGAGGGTCACAGGAGGAGCAAACACTGGGGCTTGGACGTGCCGTCTCGGCAGGCCATGAGCAAAACGGCAACGCTGATGCTTCTCAGACGACCTTCAGAAGCAGCGGCCATGAAGCTTACGAGCTCTGGTGCCCGCCCGCCCGCCCACCCGCCACGCCGCTGGACTCTCGTCACTCTCTGGCACCAGGCACAGGACTTCGTCAGACTAAACCCCACGTCCCAGCCGGGAACTCGAACTGCGGAAGTGACTGCCTGGGGGAGGTGCAGGTGGTGGCCAGTGAAGCCCAGAAAGCAACAGCCAGACGTGCCCTGGGCCTGAGAGACGCCAAGTAGGTCCAGTCAGGCTTGCTTTAAAATACCACGGGCACCAAGTTAGTCTCCTCGAGGGGCACCTACGTCAAACGCTGTGGTCACCCAGAATGCTCTGGAAAGGGGCCCTGCGATCAATCACCCAGCACCTCCCCACCCGGCTTCAGGGGAGCAGCAGTGCCAAGGACAGACCTGACAGCCAGAGGGTCCCCCGTGCCAGTGATACCCAGGCCCGGCATGGACCCCGCTCGCTCCTGCCCAGACCTAGTCCCCATCTCCTGGGTTGAAGCCTCAGCGGGGAGCCCAGAGACCTCGACAGAGACCTCGCCCGGGGAACAAGCCGGGGACAGGCCTGCCATGTGCTAAGCTCAGGTGGGGTGAGTGGGGGGTGTCTGCTGTGTGGTTTGACTACACGTGTCTGTTCATTCAACAAGTCCTGGGTCCTTCCCATAGGCTGGACACACACAGACTCATGCATGTATATGTCTATGCAAACACAGATGTTCATTTACACAGGACATGTGTGTATTGTGGGAAATACACACGGATGTAGAGATACACACACACACAAGCACACACACAAGAAAGGAAGGCATTTTGCTCTCGTCGGTGTGAACCATAAAGGGGGAATACAGCCCGATTCTTCCAGTTATCAGAAATCCATTCTGGATCTGGGGTGCTACAAAACTTACTGTGACATCTGCCCCCAATGTCTCGCTGCCACTTGGGGCCTTCTGAGAGCAAGCACCGTCCCCTCCCCAAACTGCCTGCATATTCAAGGGAGGAGGTGGTAGGGAGGAGGAGGAGGAGGAGGAAGGAGAGAATGAGGAAGCTTTACTTGACCCTCTCTGGTGCAATCGTGGGATTTTTACAAGGTGTCCAGAAGCCTGCTTTTAAGACCAGAGATCAAAATGAGGGGTTGAGGGTCAGAGCTATAGGACAGCAAGTAAGGCACTTGCCTTCCAGGCCGCCGACCCCAGTTAGATCCTCAGCATCCTATTATGGTCCCCCAAGCCCCATCAGGAATAATTCCTAAGTAGAGAGACCGGAGTAACCCCTGAGCATCACCAGATGTGGTCCAAAATCAAACCAAACAAAGAGAGAGTGAGAGAGAGAGAGAGAGAGAGAGAGAGAGAGAGAGAGATCTATTTTTAAAAGACTTAGAAGAAGTTAATTGGTTCCTGTGATCCTGAGCCGGTCATTTCAAAGCCCCAGTGACAGCGACGGCTGGTGAGCTCAGAGCGCTGAGCATCCATTGCCTTGTCGTTCCTTGCGGGAGCCTGACATCAGCCACCCAACGGGCCGTCCCTGGCCTCAGATGACCCCAACTCCCGGCCCTGCCCTGCTGGCCTCTGTTCCACTCTCACACCCCCAGGCAGGGCCTCCAGACCGTCAGACCACCAGTCCTTACAGCCATTTCCTACCGAGCTGGGTAAACAGCACCGCGGGGCCAGATGGAACCACTTCTGTCTGACTTCACTCCGGAACAAGGCAACTTACTTACCATCAGCGGCCGTTTTTCTTGGGGAAGGTTTGATCCCTCTTGCCACCAAAATGGAATGTGGCACTTGCCGTGGGTGGACCTGGCCGGTATTTGCTTCGCTTTGAAGAGGGCGACTTGAGAGACCGGCGCCTCCCCGGGGCTGCCGGCCTCCCAAATCTCACGCCTGGCATGGCCAGGGGCCTGCGGAGAGCTAAGAATGGGGGCATTCACAGAGCCCTGCAACCCTGCTGGCCCGCTCGGCTGGGGCGTGGGTCAGCTGAGAGAGGTCCCCCGCCCCGCCCTCCACGCGCCCCCAGGAGCCATACCTGTGGAGTGGCAGAGGTCACCAACACGCTAGCCATCAGACCATTCCGCTTGTACATAGTCTTTGGGCTGCAGGGAGCTTCAGGCCAGCCTGTGGCGGTGACATAACCCGTCTGCTCGAGTCCTGCAAGGCAAAGGGCCGCATGAGAAAACAGCCTCCAACTCACCAGCCCATCCAGAGCCCCGGGCCCCACAAGCACGGTTACACGCTGGTCACCCCCAGCAACACACGGCTACAGGTTCTGGTTTTTGTTCCACTGTCTCGGTTTTCTGAGCCATTCCTGGCAGGACCCGGTGGTTACGGGGATAGAACTCAGGGCCAGAGAGAAAAGAGAAGGGAGGGTGCAGCCTTGCACCCGGCCGGCCTGAGTTGGGTCCCTAGCAGACACCGCAGAGGCTCCTCCGATCCCTATCAGGAGTGATCTCAGAGCACAGAGTCAGGAGTCAACCCCAAGCACTACCGGGTATGGCTCAAAACACGCACCCGCCCTAACATGACTCCCTCCGAAAGAAATCGGGTTCCTGTGTGCAAGGCACGCGTGATCCCAGGCCTCGGAGGTACAGCTCCTGGGTCCGAGTCCGGTTTGGGTTTTTTAACCACCACCGTTTCTGAATCGGAGGTTTCAAATACGAGTGCGGGCTTCTGATTGTGCTTGAAAATCGAAATGCCTGGGGCTGGAGCAATAGCACAGTGGGCAGGGCGTTTCCCTTGCACGCGGCGAACCCGGGTTCGATTCCCAGCATCCCATATGGTCCCCCGAGCACCGCCAGGAGTAACTCCTGAGTGCAGAGCCAGGAGTAAAACGAACATCGAAATGCCTGGTGACTGGCCGGGGCCTCTCCGACCCCCTCCGGGCTTCCCAGCACCCTGGGATGTGTCTGTCGGCTCTGCCCTTTCGCCGGAGTCGGGAAAGGATGACACGGAGCCCACAGGCTCCTCCACGCACGTTTCCAACATGCCTACGGCTCCGGTCGGATGCTCCACACGCGGGATGTGGGGGTCCTACATGCCACCCCTCTCAGCAGCCCTCACCAGGCCCAGGCAGCTCAACATCACCGGGCACCACCCAAGGCAGAGTCAGCTGCCTCTGCGTCCAGTGCCGGCAGGAGACACCTCGGCGGAGCCACGGCACGCCCCACACTGTCTGCTCTGAAACCAGGGTACCGGCTACATCCCGCCTGCCGGGGCACAGAGGGGCCCATGCCAAGGTGGCAGCAGCGACCGAGTTGCTGAAACTGAGGGACGTCGGGGTCAGAGGGGAAAAGAAGCAGGGCAGAGGCCAGTGGGGGGCGGGGAACGTGGGCCGAGACAGGCTCCATCCGCCGGGACCAGGAGAAACTCAACTCTCAGGGCAGGATGGAGGTGAAAGACCCAAGGACAGACGGTCCCAAGGGGAACGCGAGAACAGCGTCCTTCACACGGTCTATGTCCTCCCAGCCCGGAGCCTCAGTCCAGGCCCATCCCTGCCCACTGCCCTCCTCCCCTGCCACGCCTGAAGTCTGCTGCCTTCCCTCCTCCTCTTCTCTGGGACGCCCACGCGAGCTAGTGCCAGCGACCAGGGACACTTGGCGGGAGTGCTGGCGAGAAATGAATGGGCAGCAGATGACACTGCCGAGTGACCGCTGTGTCCCTTGGGCGTGTGTGGGCTCGGCCTAGAAGGTCCTTCTCCGCAGCAGTGCAGACGGCAGAATGCAGGGGGAAGCTGGGAACCTACTTCCAGACGGGCCAGCAAAACCCACCTGACAGTGATGAAAGCGGACCAGGTAGAACTAACATTCAGTGGCTCACAGCGCAGGTCTGTCTTCTAGGAGGGAGGGAGGGAGGGAGGGAGGGAAGGAAGAGAGGAGGGAGGGAGGGAGGGGCTTCAAATGTTAAATTTACAGACCACACCAGCACTTCTGCACAGGGTTCTGTCTTTTTCCAAAATGGCAATGCAGGGCGGGACCCGCACAGCAACTAGGGCACTAGTTTTGCACACGGCTGACCTGGGCTGCCTGAGCACTGCCAGAAGTGATCCCTGAGTACAGAACAAGAAGTCGGCCCTGAGCACCACCAGGTATGGCCCCCAAACAAGCAAAATGTACAGGCAATGTCTGCCCTCCCCCCACCCCCCCCCACACACACACTCACACATACAAAATCACAGCAGGGGGCTGAAATGATAGCACAGCAGATAGGACGTTTGCCTTGCATGCGGCCAACCTGGGTTCGATTCCCAACATCTCAGATGGTCCCCTGAGCACTGCCAGGAGTAATTCCCGAGTGCAGAGCCAGGAGGAACCCCTGAGCATCACCGGGTGTGACCCCAAAAAGAAAAAAAGTCACAGCAGCACAGTGCTTCAGAGCCAAAGGGGGCTGGTGTCCATCCACGAACCGCGTGGTTGAATCAACCATGTGTGACAGCTACTTGCTGTCTGGAGAAATGAAGCCCTTGGCATCAGCTGCAACTTGGATAAAGCGCAGAAATACGGCACGAAGGCGAAGACGCCAGAGATCCAAGCAAAGCACTGCGCCAGTGAAACGCCCAGGAAAGGCCAGTTTTAGAGAGATCAAAGGCACATCCGCGGCCGGCTGGGGCAGACACAGCACTGCGTGCAGAGGTTCAGGGGGAAGTGGGTGGTGGTAATAGTGGTCCAGTCCCCGGCACAGACCCCCGTCGAGCCGCTGTGCTGAGCACTGAGTGAGGATGGGCGTATTCTCCCATCTGGAAATCCTACCCCAGTCCAAGCTGCAGCTGCCAGCCACGCTACACAGCGGTGGCAAAGCACATGCCCCAGCGTCCCTTCCACATCCCTGTAAACTCACCAGACACCGAGGTGACACCTGGCAGCAGAGAGGGCCTATTATTAACAAGCCAAAATAAAATGAAATCTGAGCCATTTTCCAAGGGTCAACGAGACAGGACAGGAGCCCAGGGAAGCCCCTCCCAGCAGCCAGGCTGCCAGGGAAGCCCCCCCAGAAAAACCCAGACAGGAACAGAGATGCCACAACAGACTGGAGATGTGGGTTCCATTCCCAAGTACCCTAGGTGTGAGAAAGAAAAAAAAATGACAGAAGACAAACCAGCTCAAGAGCTCAAAGGCAAGCTGCCAGGGCAGGCTCTGAGCCGAGGGGAGCAGCATCCGGGGATGACGGGTGGGATGATGGGAGCACCAGCCTGACCCTCCCCTAGGGGTCTCGCTTGCACCTGTGCCAGGCTGCTCCCCCTGGGGTGTGGGGTGTGCCTCATGCTCCCCTGGGGAGCACAGATGGATCCCAGTCTGCCCCGCCTAGTCCCACCCAAGGCCGAGCCTCTCTCCTGACTGACAAATTCTCCTTCCACATTGGCACCAGCTTCCGAGATGGGCCACTTGCGCCCACCTGACTTCTCATCTGAAGGACACGACCACGGCCACCTGCCTCTCCACCCCCACTGTCCCCAGCAGAGCAAACGGGGCCAGTGCTGCTTCCAGAGGAGGCACTGGGCTAACTCCAACACTTCCAGCTCATCGGGTCATCTGGACCACACCGGGAGACACAGATGGCTCACTCCTGGGAAACTGAGGCCAGGGGAGGTGGGTCTTTGGGCTCACAGGGTCCAGGTACCTTCCAGGGGCTCAGGTGACGAGGGACGTGAGAGGCCGGGGTGGGTGGGGGGCACGCGGAGTCCAGGCCGCGCGTCGCTGCCCTCTGGGGCCGGGGCCGGGAGAACAGCGCGGGGTTTTGTGAGGGAAGACAGGGCCGCGGTTCCCATCTGACTCCGGCGCGTCTCGCCCCTGACACGCAGCCTGATTTACGGCCACCTGCACACACACAAGCGATACTTCACATGCAGCCCAGCAGGCCCGGGCTGGACGGAGCATCCTTGCCAGGAGCCGGAGAAACCGCAGCCCCACCCCCCTCTACAGACTCAGTCCCCGGGGCCTGGCCAGGCCCCAACCTGGCACACGGCGGCCCAGGAAGGCCCCGGGGGTGGGGCACGGTGCCGCCCACGTCTGAGTGACTGGGCCTGGAGGCGGCCTGGCTCTCCTGGGCCTGCGGACGTCCTGCACCCCTGGATCCAAACCCAGCCAGGAGCAAGACAGATGCCGCCCCCAGTATCAGGAGAGAGACAGAAGGTGCGGGGCCCACCCCAGAACCTGTGAAACTGTCCCTCTGGTTTCAGGGAGCTGGACCGACCACTGCTATACCCAAAATGCCAAGTTCACTCCCTGCCCCAAGGAACCTAGCCCCAGAGGCACAGGGGTCCCAAGATGGGGCCAGGTCCACGCTGCTCCACCTTGTGCCCACATTCACTGAGTTCCTCGGCTGCTGGCCAGGAAGACCCGCCACTGAGTGTCCTGACCCAGTGTGGAGCGACTCGGGGCCCCTTCGGACAGAAAAGTCTATAAATGCATGAAACAGTTACCCTCAAACTCAATCCAACAGGACTGCCCAGGAAAGCGATGATGTGAAAATACAGTCAATGTATTTTGAAATAGCTGAAATGGTCCCCAGCACTCTATGGTCCCCCAACCCCCGGCTGGCATGATCCCTGAGCACAGAGCCAGGAGTAAGCCCTAAACTCCAAACCAAAACTAAATAAAATTAATACATTATAAAGGAGCTGGAGCAATAGCACAGTGGGCAGGGCGTTTGCCTTGCAGGCGGCTGACCCAGGTTTGATTCCTCCGTCCCTCTCGGAGAGCCCAGCAAGCTACCAAGAGTATCCGGCCCGCACAGAAGAGCCTGGCAAACTCCCCATGGCGTATTCGATATGCCAAACACAGTAATAAGTCTTACAATGGAGATGTTATCGGTGCCCACTTGAGCAAATTGATGAACAACGGGAGGACAGCGTTACAGAGCTACGTTAAAAAGAGAGAAAGTTATTCTAAAACAAAATTTCCTTTCTTTGCTGTTGTCAGGGGCAGGGGCTGGAGCGACAGCACAGCTGTAGGGTGTTTGCCTTGTACGCAGCTGACCCGGGTTCAATTCCTCCGCCCCTCTCGGAGAGCCCGGCAAGCTACCGAGAGTATCTCGTCCACACGGCAAAGCCTGGCAAGCTACCCATGACGAATTCAGTATGCTAAACACAGTAACAACAAGCCTCAAAATGGAGACGTTACTGGGCCCACTCGAGTAAATCGATGAACAATGGGAGG